AGTGAGGCAGGATAGAGAGAGTAAGAGAAATGGGTAAAAAGAAAGAAAGAGAGGTAGAGAGAGGGATAAATACAAGGAAAAATAGTGTTAGGATTTGAGTATAATAGAAAAAGTATTGTGGGTAGGATGTGTAGAAAGTTGAAATTAAGGAATATCTATAATCTTCACAAATAAATATTATATTAATAAGTTAACTTCTTAGGTATATTTTAATATATATTTTTTTAAAAAAAATGGGTAATAAAACTATTTATCTTTTGTAAAAAAAGCCACAATCATACTAATCATTTGGTGTGAAATGAAGTGGTTGGGTGTAAAAATTTTCGTGTTCAAAGTCCCGTGACACTTTTTTTGGATTATGAAAAATGGATATAAAAGGTCTGCAAGAGATCTAGAAGAACTCATTATTGTCTATTTTATTTTAAGTATTACCGATAGGGAAATTAACATAGAAATTCCTTCTTCTTTTTAGTTATTATAAATAATAATAAGTTTTTCATATTTTGTGCCACGGTTCTCTTTTCATGTCAATTTTTTATGTTTGCCTAAAATACCTCTAGTTTAGTACTTTACCTACTAAACTATATGCATAATTTTTATTTGAAAACTCAATCTGATACTTGAAGTATTAGACCGATGTTTTCAAAGTAATATTGGGATGTCATAACCATCGTTTGAAAAACTACCCGATATAGTTGGTAACGCCCGGTTAGATCGGAACTGGCCCATTGCCAGTTTCGGTTTCAAGCGGTTTTGGTAATCGGTCAGTATTTTAAAAATAAAAATTCAAAAAAATATCTATAAAATTTCAAAAATAAGGAATTTGATTTGTAATACATTTTCTCAATAGTTTTACATTATGGTAAACATTAAAACTTGTTTTGGTCATTAACACTCACTTTTAAAATCTATTTTTTATTAATTTTCTACTTCATTTGAATGTGTTTTGTTTTAATCATTCTTTATATGCCTTTCATATTTTAGTAGATATTTTTTTTACATCTTTTTTATTTTTTTCAACAATTGTTTGACTGCTCGGGACTTGTCCGATTAGAACAATTGAATCGGTCGGTGTACCTTTTAAGCCGGTTAAACCGGTTCTGGCCCCATATCCGGTTAATCATTCCAGCTCGATTTTGCGTATTGACAACTTTTTTGCGTTAAGTCAATCCTACACTTGGAGTGTCATATTATCTTATCTTTGATTCAACACTTCAAGTATAGGAATAACTCAATAAAAATTGATCAAATAAAATAAATAGGGTGGAGTTCTTTATAACTCAATCCCCACCCCCACCTCTCTCTTTCAAAACCCCACCAAACCCTAGTGCCTTAGATCTTTCGGGTGAATTTGTCTTTTTTATCTTTTTTTGGTTGGTCCAACGCTTGAAATACTTACCAAAAAGAAGATGGCCCGGACCGAGCCAAATTTGATTTGACGATTAGAGTGCCATCCACCACATTTGTAGAGAAGTCAGTCTGGTATTTCAAGGTCCAAACAGAATTTTATGGAAAATTTTTATGTGCGGTCCGGTACTTGAAGCACCTCCTAGGAGTATTTCTGGAGCTGAAGTTAAATATAAAAATAGAAACATATATCTCATCATCATCATCTATATGTTCCTAATATGTATAGATATAACGCTTAAAATATGAAACATGATTGTATGAGAGAGAGGCATGCTACTTGGTGACTAAAAGTCAAAAGATAGGAAATAGTAAAGAATTATACGTATATTTTCCTATCTTATTACATGCAATATACACTTTTCTATCTTGTGTCATCCTCTCAAAAGGAAATAGTCACTTTCCTATCTTGTTTGAATTTTGTTTCTATTATTCCCCCTCAAACTCGGCTGAAGAGGCATTTGAAGCTTGAATTTGAAGCAAATATCTCAAAAAACATCTCGTGGCAAAGGTTTGGTGAAGATATCAACTATTTAATTGCGAGAAGAGACAAAACGAGTGATTAGTAATCAAAGAGCAATCTTTTCACATACAAAATGATACTTTAACTCAATGTGCTTTGTCCGAGCATGAAAAACATGATTAACTGTTATATAAAGAGCACTAATATTGTCACAAAAAAATGTTGGTGGTTGAAGAAGAGACACCCCAATATCTCGAAGAATAAAAGAAAGCCATGTCAATTCTACAGCAGTGGATGCCATAGATCGGTATTCCACTTCAGCACTTGAACGAGCCACAATGGATTGTTTCTTAGCACTCCAAGATATGCAGTTAGAATCAAGATAGGTACAGAAACTAGTGATTGAATGACAAGTGTTTGGACACCCAGCCCAGTATGCATCAAAGAAAATATATAACTTAAGATAAATGTCTGATATGATTCTTATACAACAGGACTGTGTACCACTGAGATAACGAAGAATCCGCTTCATTGCCTGAAAATGTATAATTGTAGGGATATGCATAAGTCGACACATGTTATTAACACTATAGGAAAGATCAGGCCGTGTTATGGTAATATATTGGAGTGCACCAATAATGCTCCGATAAAAGGATGGATTAGGAAATATATTAGAAATCTCATGAATATTATTCTTCATTGCCATTAATGTAGAAATAGGTTTGACACCGAGTATCAAAGCACGATCAAGAAGATCCTTGTTTGAATTTTGTTTCTATTAATATATAACACTGGGATCATAAATATGTAAATAGTAAAAAAAAAAAAAGTCAAAAGTTCAAAACAAATATTTTGGAATATTTTGGACCTCAACTTTACATCCATCTTAAAGATGAATGCCCAACACCTTGGGGGGTGCAAATGTAGAATGTGTCCCTTAACTCATAGACTACTCTCGTTATTTAGATGAGTCCTCTGTCTACAATATATTTTAAAGATAGATTATGGATACAAAATTATAGAGAATGACCATCTCAATGAAGTAGGAACTTGAAAAAAAAATACAATTTAAAATAAAAAATAAAAAAAATTAAACATAGTTTTAATAGCATCAATTTTAAATTTTTTTAGGGCTACCATTTTCTAACATCCATTATGCCCGTTAGTGGACGCTGCTGTAGAAGTGCATCCCCTGATGCACAAACTACATTTCCAAATCTAAACATGCCAAAGTTAGGAGAGCATTGTAACATAGGCGTGCTAATTGATATGCAAGTGGTCAATGGAGGGTAGCTTAAATAAGGCATTAATCAGAGAGGAGAATCCTTTCATAGAATGATGTGCCATAGGGAAATGACAGGTTAATGCATGTACTAAGACAAGTAAATTTTGATGAATACATATCCATTGTGTATATATTAAGTCATTGTGCATGGACCCGTATCTATCTATATCTATCTACTATATATTAAGCCAGAGGAGATTTTATAATTTTGACATGTTCTTTTTACTTCCTCATTTATATTTTTTAATTTCTAATAATTCTTGCTTTGTCTCTAACCATATCCTTAAGAAAATTAAGACCATTACTATTCAAATAAGAAAATGCTTATTTGTATCAAAGAGAATTATGATTTCCCATAAAAGCCTTTATTACAAGGGATTGTCTACAAAGATATCATTTATTGGAAAAAAAAATAAAATGATGTCTTTGTAGATAATTCTTTATTGAGATAGTATAAATATTTATTTATGATTTTTTTTTAAAATAGACATGTAATAAATGCTTACTATAATATCTCTCTCTCGCCAACTCGAGCACGTCTCTCTCTCACCCACCGGGCACACCAACCCGGGCATGTACGCCCCCTCCCCCCAACTTAAACCAATAAAAAAACATACCCCTCTCTCTCTCTCTCTCAATTAAAAGAAATTATTTTCTAATAAATAATTGCGTAGTCGCAAACTATATTTTTATATATAGAATAAAACTATAATTAAAATTACAAAATTATTTATATTAATAAATGCAAAAAATTCATTCTCTATTTATTCTTTTATGTTTTCTATTATCTATTTTTTACATTTTTCCATCCTTACTTTTTTACAATTTCAAAAAAAACTTGCTCTCTAAATAATATAATTAACTATTTACTAATAATGTATTCATTTATGAACATGGTTTTTATCGCTTCGCTTTAAATAAGTCCTCCCTCCAAAATCTATTTTAGAGATATGTTTTGCATTTTTAATTATGAAAGTATTTACCATGATGAATCTAGAAGAAAGATAAATTTTAAAAATAAAATATGAATTTTTTATATAATTTTGATATCGTCAATTTTAAATTTTTGTGGCATTACAAGATTGAAGTTTAGTGTGTCAGGGGGATGCTATTGCAGAAGCGTATCCTCTATGTACTACTTTTCCATTTACTTATAAACAAAAAAAATTATTGCAATATTCCTGTAAAAAT